CAGGAATGCGTAGCAGTGCAAGTTTCACAGAGAGTTTGGGTTTGATGACACGACGTTCCCCGTTAAGGAATGTGGCATGTAAATTCGGGTAGGAGTCAGAAACTCTGAATTGCAGATGACAAGCTGCATTGTGTATTACATAGATGTGTTGCCAGCTACCACTTTTAAAAGCAAAATTCCTTGTTTGGGTACCTTTTTGACACGATAGAACCGTAAGAATAAATTTCTTTCAAAAATTTACACTGATCCACTTTTTTGTAATGTTGGGGTTGCTCAATTACAGAAATTAATACTTCAGAAGCTAATAATACTTAGCATTTAGTGCTTTCACCTTCAGACTTTCTGTTTAATCTACTAATAGCAACTAATTAAGTCTCCCAGTGCCTCAAGAGGTTGCTATTATCCTCATTTTACAGCTGAGGTTAAATTACTTGTCACTGGCCATAGTGAGTATTGGTGTCGGATCGGGTGCTTTGTTAGAAGTTCAGTGTCATCTTCCTGTATTTTCTCTCTCTCGATTTTCCTCTCCTTTGCCTTTATTTAAGCTTTCAAAACACTTTCCACGCATTTATTTTTCTAATGTGTTGCTAGTGACCTTTATGATACATCTTCCTCTGTCCAAAAATGTCATGAATCGGCTCAGGTGCTGCATCGTTGTTCTGAATTTATTTCTGAGGTGTGGTCAAAATTCAGACATTGCAGCTCCTGTTGTTGAAGGCCACTGGAAGCCGAGCATTTCTTCTGAGACACTTTTTTCTTCATTTTCCATTTTCTTGTATGTTTTCTTGTTTGGAAAATAACACGGGTTCTTGATTACAGAAAACCCTGAAGAAAAGGCTGTGCTGCCTCACTGTCTCTTGCCAGACGTGCATAACGTACAAGGCCTCTTCCAGACACAGCAGGGTTTATTCCAGTTTTCACATAGCTATGGAAGGGGAAGCCTGCTTGGAAACGGAGTCTCCTGCGCGGAAGGCTGTACCAGCTGTAGCAAGACGCCCGCTTTCAGGTTAGACAGGAATGCTTGGAAATGAAGATGATGTGTACAGCACAGATGCCTGGGTAGGAAGAAAGACCAGAGAAGTGGCTATCTGGTGTTTTTTCTTCCCTTAAAATGTAAATAGGTTAAGCTGCTTTACATTTGGGCAACATCACAGTCTCTTTTCTTTTTTTTAATGCCTTCTTTCTTCCCGGATCAAATTATTCTCCTGTTACACTTCACAACAACAGGTTCTTGTGTATTTTGTGTAAATACCATAGAGGGAAGGTGAGGCCAGTTGTTGAACTTGGAAAAAGCAAATTCACGGATTACTGTGTGTCTGTTGCGCTGCTACGTACACAGCAATGCCGGCCCTTTCCATGGAAGGATGTCAGGGTGGGAACCGCATCAGCCTTTCTAGCGTGGTGAAGCCGTAGGCACGGAATGCGGACAAGAGAGAACTACGTCAAATGGATGGCTGGGGAGATCTGAAGACTGGCTAGCTGCTGGCAAACTGTTACACCAGGACCTGCCTGGCTGCACTGCAGTGATTGTATCGGTGCAACGCAGAAACCAGATCTGAGGCGCGTGCCTTGTCTCACAGTTTGAAAGGGAGTCTGCTTCCTCGCAGGGTTCCCTTACCTATATTCCTACTCCCTATATGCAAAGGGCAATATGGAAATTAATGATGCAGACTGAAGAGCAGTATGCAACTAATAACATAGGAAGTGATCGCAATTTCCATTCCTATCTTTGGGGACACTTAACTCTCTTCCCTGAGTGGAAGGAAGTGCAGATGGAATCCAAAACCCCATTTCAGAAAATCCTCACAAGGCTACCAGCATTTGGGCTTAGTTCAATTCCT